GTTGTTGGCCACCCAGTGTTTCGGCTTGTTTAAAACTCTTTTAAGTTTAAGAGGACGACGCGGACGGAAAGGCTAGTTCTGAACTCTTTAAGGACGAAGCGGGCGTTATAAAATTTTTTTAAAAAAATAATGTCAATTCGGTAAAAGACCAAATGACATTTTGCGGCCATGTTTCGAACCTTAATACACAAATCAGAGAAATAAATTTGTCTATTTCATGATATGCATGTTTTTACCTGCCTCATTAAAGTTTCGGACCAAAAAAACAACAACAAACAAACAAACAAACAAAAAATACATACCAATGACACCCAAAACTTCTCCTATAGGTAAGGCAATGCCCTTTTTTGGTTTAGTGTGTCAAGATTTCTAGAAACCCCCGATATCAGGGGTAACCCGCTTGTCCTTAAAACAAATCCTTGGTTAGCCCTCTTGTCCTTAAAAGCGACCATTTACCATACTATTACGTACCAGCCTTCACGTCCTGCTCCTCTCAACCTCCCCGTCCCGCCCAGCCCCGGCCCGAGTGAGCAGGCTCGTTGAGTGACGTCCCGGATAACGCCTGGGCCATGTGTGTGCTACAAACGGGGCGCTCTGGACAGACCCCGAAAATTTGGCGGGTTTATTCCGACTCGCCGACTTAAAAGCGAGTTTCCTTATTGAGGAAATGGGAATGGGAAGACGGTAGGCTCTTTTACTTAGATTTAGGGGGAGGGGGGGGGAGACTCGAGAAACGATCGAGAGTAATGTCTGTTTCATTTCAACGGGCATTAAAGTGCTCTAGATAGAGTGTCTCGGCATTTGCAGTCGCTATCGCTAATTTGGCGGTTTTATTTTTCCGCAAACGCGACATTTTGTTCTTATTGTATTCCTACATATACAAGGATGAAGGCTTCGGGCTACTCGCGTACGTAAGTGTACGTCTGGGTGTGTCTGCACCCCTTGGTGCTCAGTAGAGGGGTGGGAGGGGGTGTCATCGGTATTCAAACTTTGATGGTGTCTAATTTTACTTCCTAGATTAACAGTGACTTTATATTAATGACTGAGAAGTAGCTCTCAAAGATGCTCATGTGAGATACTGGAAGTGGTTTCTGCTTCCCTTTAACGGCATCTCCTGCTCTGGTGGGTTTTTTTTCAGTTTTCGTGACATTATTATTGGAAAAGTTAGCACAAAATCCTTCAGTTAAGGAGATGGGTTTGGAGAAACAGTGCTTTATTTCTGAATGGTAGAACGCACATCCTTAAATTTGGTGGTTTTATCTTTTTGACATCAACGACTTCCTGTTACGTGATGAAAGGCCACAGAACGGGCCAATGGTTAGTTCCCAGGTCAGGTGGAGAGAGCCTTACATAAATCGTTTTGTTTGTTTTAGTAAACTTTTTACGGCACTTTCAACACAATATTGGGCCATACAAATGCCTAAGAATAGATGAGTTAAAAGAGAGTAACATACATGAAAAGAGAAGGAGGAGAGAAAAGGACGATAGACTTCTGATAGGAAAGAAGGAGCAAACCACACCACAGCACCCGCCAACTAACAACGTACATTACTTTGCATTCCGCATAAGCAGCAACGATATACATTTGTACATGTATTTGGCGGTTGAACCTACCTATGAGCAACGACTTCGCCACGCATTAAATCGTGTTTTTTTAGTAGAGGTTTTACGGCGCTCCCAACAGCATAAGGTCATAT